CTCTAACCCAAACCTTGGCTTTACGTAATCAGTTGGCCTCAGGCTTTCTCTACAAGAGGGTCGATTTAATTAAATAAATATCCTTCCACTGTTGACTTTCAGCCCACTCGATCGCTGTTCACAAAAATAAATGTTTAGATGAAAAATCCAGCTAAATTGAGGATTTTGTTGGGGACGCAGTTTTGTTAAACAGCGGCTAAACTATATTAAAATAACCGGCCATGAAGTTTAATACTCACATCAGCCTTTTGATGAGGGCTTTGGAAATTTCAGTGACACTTCTTGTAAATGTATCTTGTGTCCTGTTCAGAAAGAACAAATTGATCCATAAAAGTTGACATCCTTTGCCATTAAATGTAGGTTATGATATGTTGATTTTAAGTGAACGATGTGAAGCAACATTTAATTCACAGACATCCCCAATTTGCATATTAAATGAATAGCTCAAGGCTACAACCAGTTAATACATGACTTAAAAACCAACAAAGCTTGGTATTCAATTATTATAGATGCTTAATTCTTCACAACAAAATACAGTCAAATCTGTATTAAGCAGCATCATGTTAAGCGGTCACCCGGTATAAAATCGTCGGTTTTCAAAGTCCCGAAATTTTGTCATAATACCCTTTATCCTATAAACTACTGTGTTATATAAGGATTTCCAGCCCCGAGAAAAGCCGTAACAATACACTTGTAAAAATAAGATATTTTTCACGTGTGTTTGATATCACCAATCAGCTGCACGTCACTTGCCTTTCGCGCCAAGGTGAAGAATGAACGGCAAAGCATTCACCATTCTCAATCTAAGGTAGTTTGTTGGATTTTTTTCGGATTACGGCTGCTAAAGCACTGAAAAATTCGTATTGCTTAAAGACAGTGACGTTCAAACTTAACAAGAAGGAGAAGAAAACCAATATACGAAACGAAAAACCGAATGTTATTCAGTGCAGGCTTTGGTAATGGCATTTCTCGCGGCTGAGAACGAAAATCTACAACTGGATGGAAGATTTGCTGGAGGCCGTTTACCTGAGAAACTTCTTCTGTCGGTTTCATAATTGTAAATTGAAAATTACACTCATTGTTGTTTTTGTAATCATAATTCGACGCATTTTTCCATCTTGAGCCTTAGCACCAACCCACTGTGCGATTTTTATTCGGGAATTGTCGATTCCTTTATTTTCATTGATTGATAAAGTTGGCTTTTCTCGTTAATAAAGAGCTGTTGTGTTTATATGATAAAAAAAACAATACATAGTTGATTGTAGATATGGAATTTCCCTTCTCTTGTTCAACTCGACATCTCGTTCGTACGCTGCGGTCACTCGTGAGCTATCGAGTTAATCACTCGAAGAAATTCCACACTTGCTTACTTTCCCATGTATTATTCTCTATTTATCTGTAGAACCTGTGTTAAACCCTTAAACCCCTTAGGAGTGATTTGCATCTAATTTCTCCTTACAATGTCACTCTTGAATCAAACATTAAGGTCATGAGAATAAAGGAAATGATCACCAACTAAAGCAGCTCTTGATTATGAACAAATTCTCTTATGTCAGCAAATTAGGAAATGTATAGTGAATAGTATGGAGAATATGCATACTGATGTTAGGGTGTAAAGGGTTAGGTAGTCAACCTGTTTCAGGCAGTCACCCAGCCATTCCCCATGGGTGCAGAGTGCTTAAGTCAAATTCAGACTGTATGTGGACTGATTAGAATACTTACACATTTGTTTGACAGTTACTATGAAAACTAAAGGTGCACTTCAGCGTAGAATCAAGAGCCATTAAGCCTATGTCACGAAAGCATTCCATTTTGAGTGGATTCTGAGACCATTTATCCTGTAATTTAAATTATACATTAAATATCAGATTTAAGTGATATACTCTTACTTTCATATTAAAGATCATGGTGTATTAAGGATTTGGCTGGGCATGAAATATAAGAAGGATTTCCTGAACTTGAATAGTTGATTTTGTTAGGCAAACAATAAAATTCAAAATAAATTAAAGTTTGTATTTGTCAAAGATTCAAGAGACCCTCAACTTCAAAACATGAAGTCAAGTACAGAAGGTGTTAATGAAACAATTTATTGGCGCATTAAGTAGTAAGAGCTAAAATTTTAGTTTCCAGCTTAAATAAAAAGCTGTGCTTAGTTATTTTGGAGCTTCTATAAATTTTTTTTCAAGGGTTTGTTTGATTAGTGTAATGGTAGCCCATCATCATCAGGCTGAGTGCACCTCGCTGTAAACATTTAATTGTCCCAGAAACTACTCACCAATAAGGTTTTGGTGGACTCTTGGAATATTTTTGTGTATTGCTTCAAGATTTCTGCATGAAAAGCTGGAGTCAAAAGCTTCCTCATTTGCTGCCATTGTTTTCCATTCACGATGGTGAGACTGTTTCCTATTAGCAGAAATTATTTGAAGTTGTCTCATTTAATAAATTTCAAGTCAGAGAATGATGTGTTCATATTTTACATTTGACCAGCCCTTAATTTTACACAAAAACTGTCTCCAGTGCCCAAATTATTAGGCCAAACTTACTGCTACAATCCATGCAATTGTAATTCACCCCAATAAAATATGTAAGTGATACTGCCAAATTAATAAGCCTTGTCCCTGCATTCATAAGATGTACAACATACTCCTCTCAACCCTACTCCCATGAGTGATCAAGACAGAATTTCTCCTTGTAATATCAATACAATATCAACCAGGTAAGTGATGAGAATAAAGAAAAATATCAATTTGAGGATGAGTTGATCCAATACTAAATTCTCTGAACTAACATTTTAAGAACTGTATGGTTGACAATAAGGAGAAGTACAAATTTGATCGGGAGTCAAAGGGTTAAAATGATATACCCTTGCTCTCATTGGGATCAGAGTAAAGCTGTAAGTGTGCATAGAAATGAGGATTATAATGACAATGCTTAATGTGGCAATCATAATTATGAGGATGATTAACTTAGTACCAGCCATTTTGTAGGTCAAAACAATAGTTATACACCCATCTGGCACTGAAATGAATTTTAACCCCAGCTTTATGGCAATATATGTCCAAAAAGGTTGATTGTAGCTGGAACCGGAAAACAATAAGTAAAAAGAAGAGGAGTTTGTAACACTTGTGAAATAGATGCTTCAGTGGTGCTCACTTAATTGATTCCTGCCACTAACTTTGAACCTCTACCACACTCATTGAACTTCTACTCTTCCTTCCATTCCAGTGCCTGTCTTTCCAAAAATTACAGATTAACTCCTTTTTATATATCTGACTCATGGATAAAGACATTTTCCGACATTTTTGTGTCAAGAGACTTATTTAATCAACTTTCAACATCCCTCAAGTTAGGAACACACAGCAAGCTAATTTATTCAAAATCCTTTCTTAGGGAAATGAAAATTATATCAAACAAGTAAAATTTTTCTACAAGAAGCCATTCTCTTCAGAGTTACAGTTATTGCAGGTTTATTTGCATGTAAAATATGTGAAATACACTCTTAAAATAACATATGAAAGGAAATAGGTCTGACTTAGAGAGACTGATTAATTTAATGATTGTTGAAAATTCTATTTTATGAAGCTGCACAGTGTAGAAGATGGACTTTGGTTTTTGTCTCTTTAATGTTTACCAGAACTTCACTTTTACATGTCCTTACCAGTGAACGGTACAACTAGACTGTACACAAATTCCTCCTTTGGGGTATGACTGGATAGGACAGTCTTGATAGAGTTTGGGTGACAAAGGACAAGTGCTGATCGCAGGGGGCCAAACCACAGTGGGTAGGCTGTCTTATATTTTGTAGCACATTCTACATGGAATTTCAAACCATTACCATCAAAGGTTGCCTGAAATATAAATAATTGAAAAGTTATTTATTTTTTTATCTCAATATTTGATATTTTGTATACCACCCAGTTTAATGGCACTATGAAGGCTATTATTCTTGGAATAATTTCAAATTGTTGAAATGGGCAAGTCATTATCTAAGGTGAATTCTTTATGAAATAATTATAATAATAATTATTATTTTTCCATGAAATAATATATTTCCTAATGTCCTCATTTCTCCAATACTTTGTTTTCAGCTGCTTGTGTGTTAAACATCTCAGAAGGCTATTAATTAAACTGATCAACAGATGTGATCCTCTTTGGAACTCCACAGCAGTACTAAGTGGATGTTCTGTGGGTATCTTTCAATCATGCTGCTTTATTTACCATAATCTACCAAGGTCCAAAAAATTTGGCATTTTCTCCCAATATTGGTCACTGGTTTGACTAGCTTTTTCACTTTTAAAAGAAAGATGATTGATTTTTTTAATGAAATGAGTCTGAATTGGCCAAGCCGCACAAACATATCCACAACTTAATTACAAACATATTGACAACTAAGGTGGCCTCCCCTATAAGCCTAGCGATTTCTTGGAGGTCTCCTCACCCTACCATTCTGTTAAACCTGTATAAATATTATATCTTAAGTGGCTAATAAATAAATGGTGATGATGATAATGTGTCCAATCCCACCTAAGAAATGCTATTATTTTGTTCCAAAAACTTACTTTGTATGTACCATTTTAACAAACACCTTCACCACATGTACCCTGGTCTGTGTATGGAGGTCTTAGATCATAGCCTCACAGAGTCCCATAAACCCACTAATGTCTCTCACAAGATTTTCCCAAAGCTTAACCAGGAGTTTAATTTTGTTTATGTTTGTGACGTGGCATTAATGCATAGACTGCCTCAGGGAAAATGAATTATTAATTTATTAGTTAGATGCTTTTATGTATTTTTGGGATAAAGATAACCAAAGTATTTAAGCTCTTGATATTTCAATCAACCACTTTTTCACTCATAGAGTAATGAAGTGCAATGTCTTTGTGATTCAATTATTTAAGGAACATTCAAAAAGGAATTGCTTTCAGGTTTGAATATTATTGACCTTGATTAATTGGTGCTCTAGTGCATAAGGGCCATTATACATTTCATAGCCTCTATTTGTAGTCATGAGTCATAAACTCATATGTGGTTCAGCAAGTCGCTAAAAGTCTCATTATATTACCATCGCTTAAAGTTCAGGGCGGCTTGAAAAATCTTAATCGTTCAAAAATGTTTTCAAACACAGTCTTCTCGTGTTACATATAAGTTAAACCATTTTGAATCTTAATTGTGTAGCTTTAAAACAGTTTTTTTTGTTTTTATAGAAAACATCTCAGATTCCGCTGAATAGAAGTTACAAATTGCATCAATATAGTAAATACTGCCATATGAGCCATACTTAACCTCACAACTGAAATTTTTTAGATGAGGGAAATCACTTTCAACGTTCGTATTTTGTTTACAATCCTTCCGTTAACCATCTATTTAACAACAGGAAATATTTCGGGAAGAAAATTATCCTTTTTTTGTTACAAAATGTTGCTTAGAATTTTCAGCAATGAATAGTTTCAGCACTTACTCGATGAGTATGTCCTTTGAGCCAGTGAGATGGAGGTCCTTCGAAATTCTTTATGGCAATTTGAGACTTGCGCATCATCACGAAACTCGTGAGTAAGAAATGTGCCAAGCATGCGATAAAAAAAGAAGCAAGAAGTAGAAACCATGCGGAAAATGATAGACTAAATATCTGTGTAAAGCCTTCAAAACCGGTGGAAGCCAAAGAAAATGACATTTTCGACACGAAATTTAGCTACATTACATCACTTTTCAGTGACAATGCTCCAACCGAACGTTACAGAGTAAATACACTCGCATTAGACTTTCAAATGAACTCTGCTCCCTCAGAGGTGTAGGGGACATGTGCACTTAGCCACTAAAAGAACATCTATGTCGTTCTTCCCCGCCGATTACTTCGACATAAACAGACGAAACATAAACGAAAGCGAAAACCACAGTCGAGATGTATTTAGGGGCCAGTCGTTTCCCGAAGAATTTAATTTCGTAAACAAACCAAAAGCATCCACATAATACGTCCTCAACCCAAAATAAAATTTGATAGGGATCACTTTTTTTCAATTAACGCATTAGTATTGACAACTATGGCTCCACGCGAGCCATGTGGTTGTTTAAAATATTCCTCACTTTATTGAATGGTATTTTCCTCAGCCATTTTGACGACGGTTTTCGAAAATATGGGAGTAAGGCGTGTAGGAGGTTAAGGGGGCTACGTAATACCTGTGATGAAGTTGCGAAGGAGACAGGGCGATTGGAAGGACGATGAGTGTAATACAAGTAACCAAAAAAAAAACAAAACAAACAAACAAACAATAATCAACAGCTTTAAGAAAATTGAGAAGAAAAAGGTCAAACGTCTCTTTTCTTAACCTTCAATCGAGCGGCTTTAAAATAAGTAGTTTCCCGCTATTCTGGGGTGACTTTGGTGTTCTTTTGGCGCCATGAAGTGTCTGTATATATTCTAAAATGATACATTATATGACAGTAGGCGCAAAAAATACGCCATGTCATGTATGTGCGTGATTTCGAACCTTGCGTACACGCTTTTTCAATTTGCTCATTTTCTGAACTCTGCCGACAGATTTTTTCACGCGAGAATCCTGTTAAACATATTTATATTTTATGGCCATTTTCTTGGCTTCAAAAAACTGGCAAAACTTAAAAGCGAAAAATTTGTCCGGGATCAACCGTCTCCCTCCATCATTCAAATCTCATTTGACTCGGTTACATGGCCCATTTCGGATATGCCAAACGCATTTTTTTAAGTGTCAAGTTTTGTGTCAAGTTGGTTCCTAGGTACTGTTCTCAAATGTTAACGTTTAGATAAAAAGGGCTTTAACAGAGATGTAATGACCAAACCGTTTAGTTTAACCATTTCGCGGTCGTGAAATGGTTCCCAGTTTAAGGCACACGTCACGGAGGTATGCCCCTGTTCGGCTACACCTGTTTAGGGACCTTTTTTCGCAGGGGAATCGCGCGCATTTTCTTGTTCAACTTCATAAATAACCACAGTTTTTTACTTCCTGTAGGAAGCCCGTAGAGTTGACACGCAAGCCTGGTCACAGATTAAGTTGAATTTTTTACATCATTTACAAGTTCGTCACAGCGATATTTTAGTAATTATCTGGATTACCTTGAAAAAATACGTTTCAAGACAATACGTTTATAAAATAATTTAATATTTCTTTTCCGTAAAAGCAAGATGCATAATTAACTTTACCAAAAACATTTCGAATTGTATCCAACATTCGCATCACCCGTCTCCACGAAAAATTAACACTTACTATGTCGACGTCGCGCCGGATGCTGTCAAAGAGTATTGACAATCAGCTGCCTCGAAAAAGCCATGGGTGGATGGTAAATTCCGTGGTGCAAAGGAACTTCATGTCAACTACTCAGCAACCAGAAGCTTATAAAGTTTCTATTAGAGAGTCTACTAAATTACTTACGTCTCCCTAAAGTTCTCTCTCGTTCACAAAAACCGGAACTATTATGTATTCGGATGACAAGCTGATTTATGCGTAGTTCTGACACCGGATGACGTCACGCCCGACAGTCACCTGACCTCTCTTTAGACACGATTACAAAAATTAAACCATTGAGGAAAATTGTTTATTTCATATACGACATGCACGCAGGATTGGAGTCTTACACTTCTTTCGCCCGCTACACTCTAACTTCGTTCTCTATAGTCCAAGGTAAGAAGAAATGTCTCTATGCTTAGTTCCCTTTGCAACAGTTTCTAATTTTCGAGCAGCGATGAAGGCCAAATTCACTTCCGCTTACATCAAATTTGGGAGCATAGACTCATTTGCTAAACGTAATTGTTGCCGAGATAAGATGAGAAGAATAATAAACTGCTCTATCAATGTATCAGATATTTTTTCGAGTACATCTTGGCTCTGTTCTTTGATTCAATTTCGCATACTACGTCGCAAACACACAAATATGTAATGGCAAAACGTATTTATACCTAAAGAAATCAAGCCGTCAATTGTGAATCGGCAATGTGTTGTTTACCGTTTTTCATGTGATCTGTGCGATGCAGATTATGTCGGGTACACAGCCCGAAACCTTCAGCAACGCATTGCTGAGCACAAATATTCGACAATCGGTCGACATTTCGTAGAATCACACAGTAGCAACCACCTCTTGAAAGAAAACCAATTTAGAGTTTTAAGAAAGTGCCATGGAAAAATTGATTGTTTAGTCTTTGAAATGCTGTTCATCAAGAATCTAGAGCCTGATTTAAATATCCAGACGGACTTCATACGTGCCAAACTTTTTGTTTACTTACTATTGCTTTAATTTTCTTATGGTCTAACTTTTTATCACCCATTGTTAACTTGGTATAGAGAGACTTCAACTTGCAAATAATTTTTTGACTTGATAATGAAGTTTAGCCAACGTCGAAACGTCGTCGTTTTTTAGCAATCTTAAAATGTTTTTAAAGGAATGTTTTATTGCATTTTTTTATAGCTAAATGTTTTTCTTGATCACTTCTTCTTCGTATTTACATTTTACAATCCTAAACCTGCGTGACTCAATAAGCAGCTGTCGCGTGAAATGACGTCATCCCGACAGTCACCTGACCTCACTTTTCAATAGGGATGTTCTAGAACTTAATTTTGTGCGCCGTAGGGCAGAAAGTGGAGGAGCATGACGCTTACATTGACAAGTTTTCAATCGACGTAACCAACATAAATATTCCTTGTTTTTTTTCGACTGGTGAAAGCCGTTCGCCTTAAAAGAACATTAGAATTATCAGCTCTTCACAAACACTTTGTTACTAGTGTTTGTCATTTAACTCTGGCAACGCTTTCATTTACTTTATTGGCTAATAAAGCGTTACATCAGTTTTACAATTAAATGGATTTCGGTCCAAAACTTGTTTAAAATATTGTTAAAAGAATGAATCGAAACCAATCGACAAGACGGTTAATGAAATGAATATTAACAAAAAAAAAGTTTTTTAAACGCATTGGAACCAATCGACAAGGGGATATTATCTTTATTACCCAAAAAATATTTCTGCTGTAACACTCAATCGCCCCGTTGATCATTTGTTCAAACGTTTTCTTGAACTTGAAGCGATGACACGAACTGCAAAAAAAAAAAAACAAAAAGCAGAAAACGAACTCACGATATAGATAACTATCAAATTGCAAATTACGAACTTAAAAAAAACGACTATGTGAATTATTTTAAGACTGAAAAATAAAAAACTCTTAAGCCATACTGACTTGTTTTATGTTATTTCTTTTCAACGGAATCCATTGGTTCAAGACTGGTTCTCTACTTATGTTTAAATCTGTGTAGTCAAACCCTTTAATATAAGGAGCCTGAATTTCAATTAAGTGTCAACTCCCATTTGTGTTTTTCTTTTGCTTGCATTTCAACTGGTTTTGATTTTATTGTTAGCGCTATATCTGTGACTCCGATTCCTCTTGCTCTTTTTGTTGTTGTTGTAGGCGGTGTTAAACAGATTCACTAGCTAGTGAAAACTCTCAGTGTATCAGAGACTATGACTTTTTGGGCAAAGGAGATCGAAAACGTGTACTGTGGCTTTTTAAAAAAAGGCTCAGTCTAAGTGACAGAAGGATATTGGACTACTATAGGGCTACAGTGGCTACCTTTTCAGAAGTCTTCTTCATTTTTAGGGCATGGAGCAAGTAGGAAGTGGTTCGAGACAGAGAGAGAAGAGAGAAGATGCCAAGCCATTTTATAGAAATGTAACTGTGATAAGGAACTGTGATTTTTTATGGAATGATGGTCAACGTTACATGCCGACACAAAGTAAATTAGCACAAATACGAAAATCTTCCGTTCTTGGACAATATAAAAAGCAATTTGAGTTTGATCAGAATATGTCAAAGGAAATGGTGATGAGAAAGGTTGAGGAGACATTTCCCTACTTGCGTAATAAGAGGTAAGGAAAATTGAGATTACATTGCCCCAAGAATGTGCATTGGTCTTTAGCTTGTGTGTTCAGGTCATGTGATGATACCCTAGAGAATTATGTCTTTTAAATATCCGCTTTTTCCGCGCATATGACCGAAAAAGGTAAACAGATGAAGCTAGGAATTCCCTTCAGTAAATAAAAACATGCAATCTAAAGAGCACTATTCAATGGAAACGTGAAATGAAACTGCTAGTTTCTACTTTTAGTTAAACGGTCATAGTTGATTACCTGCAATCTTCTAAATATTTTGTCCATGTAAAAACAGTCGCATTTAGAATGTTTTTCCTTTGAATTGCCTCTTTAGTTATGCTTTTAAAGTTGTTACCTCACGCCCGCCCAAATGCATGCCGACATCTCGAATTTGGGATGGAGAGATGATAAAGAAGAACATACAGGGCAACTCAGCTTTATACATTTTGGAGGATGAGGTAATTATCGGCATCCGAAATGGCATTTTCTGTCTAGATAAAGAAAAAGACTTTCACGAGAATTATAAAAAAAGAACTGTTAACATAGAATTCTCAGAAGGATATAATGTACTTGGTTAGAGACCGACAACTTAATGATTTAAACGACAATGAAAATGAATAAGAACTATTTTAAACAGTGTATTCCACAAGTCTACCAGTTTCTAGGACACAAAGACGAGAATAGGTTCTCAAATTGGATCATTTTAATAGGAATACGCCAGAAGAAGGTGGATTCTATATCAGTGATACGTAGTTTGGAAATGTTCTATTTCTAAATTTGAAGCAAAACGGTGGATAATTTAGGGATATACTATCTCTTTGGGCCGGCAGTGGAAATAG